CCCCTGCACTGCTGTGGGGGAGGAGGTAGAGAAAATTGGGAGTAAAGTTAATGCCGGGAAGAAGGGAGGGGTGGGGTGAAGGTGTTTTAAGATTCAGTTTTATTTCTCGTTACCCTACTCTGATTTGATTGGTAATAAATTAATTTCCCCAAGTTGAGTCTGTTTTGCCCATGACAGTAATTGCTGAGTGATCTCCCTGTCCTTACCCCGACCCACAAGCTTTTCGTTGTATTTTCTCTCCCCTGCCCGGCTGAGGAGGGGAATGATAGAGCAGCTTTGGTGGGCACCTGGGGCCCAGCCAGGGTCAACCCACCACAGTATTTTTCAGGCCTGATTTCCTAAATTTAAGCTTTAATCCCATGTTTTAAGTACCTGTGTAAATATTCTGACTTTCTAATGTGCTGAATAACTGAATCTCCTCACGGGCTAAGTATGAACTGTTCATTACTTCTGGGAATCTAGATTAAATGCCTACTTAAGGGAGATTTGGCAGTGTCCTGAAGGTAACAGCAAGCTGAGAGGGGCATGTAGGACGTGTCGGCCCAGAGCTGAACGAGGTGTCCCCAGTGCATTATCAACCCTGAAGTCTTAAGAACGGATTTGCATAGTGGCATAACCATTTGCTGCCTTGTTCTCCTCCTGATTCATAACACTTTTAACAGTAGGGAAGTATTGACTTGATGCTTTTGTAATTGTTATAACCCCAAGGTTTCATTCCTGAGTGGTCAAGCTATTTCAGAACCCATCGTTATGTATGTAGGTTATGATTGTATTTTCTTATGTGCACTGTTCTGTACTTAATCTGTGTTGAATTTCAGCTGTCAGTTTATCACTTTCCTATTCCGTGTCAGACTAAAGAAGTCTGATGAGACGGAGCTCGCAGGGAATATTTTTAACATCACTGTTTGCTCACCCACCACCACCGACTTCTGGTTATGGCTGTAGGAGGGACTTCTGTGAAGTCCAGCTGGAGCTGGTCAGGCAGCTCCTGGCAGGACCCATGATACTTGACCGTGTGTTCAATATGTGAACCTCATCCCTGCCCTCCTTTGGCCCAAAACTGCATTCCAGGCAGGTGTTTTTCACCCGCTATGTTGTTTAGTGGATAAATACACCTGCTTCTCCTTTTTCTGAATGTTGGCTTGCTGCCGTGTTCTGGAGAAACAACTGAGCTGAGGAAGTAGGAGTGCTGGTGCTCGGAGTAACGCATGAGAGATGTTTGTGAGTATTTTGAGGTGTTGGTTGATTGAGGAACTGGTCTGTGTGTGAGAGGAGACAGATCCTGTGGGAAGGCTCTCATCTGTGCCTGTTACGCATTTGCAGAGTGAGCTTGAAAATCAACCTTTTCCTCAAAGGCCTGCAGTGATATTTATGCAGCATAGAGGTTGATAAGGTTTTTCAAGGATTCAAAAAGTGGAAATTACGAGTTGCTTATAAAGTCAGCCAGCTCCAGAGCCTACGGGCCTTAAACCCCGGGCAGCTCTAGACGTAATCACAGATATTCATGTCTTGTGTCAGGAGCAAGAAACGAGTAGCTGCTCCTTTCTCCTCACCGAAGGATCTGTGAACTCGGAAACTTTCTTTAAATTAGCATTTAGGATGGTAATATCACCTTTCTCTCTCTGCAGGTCGATGGGTTAGATGTGCTGTTTGCCTTGAATGTCCAGGGTGATTTTACCTGCTATTTACTGCAAAAAATCTTTTGTCACTCGAGATGCAGCTCAGCAAGTTAGTGGTGAGGAGGAGAAAAAGGAGTGAAGTGTGCAGGACTTCTAACAGCTGAAAAAAAGGTGGGCAAACCTAAA